AAACAATCTCCCATGACCCCCACCCCCTACAACGTGCATCCAGGAGGCGCCCTCCCCACCGGCCCAGCCCTCCCTGCTCCGCACCTGCAACGCTGGTCGGTCACAGGGAGGAAGCGATAACCGGCTCAGCAGGGCTCCGGGGGCGGCCGGCAGAATCCGCTCCGGGCACGCGGGGCAGACGCGGCGCCAGCTGCAGCCGCTTCGACTCCAGAACCTCCTGCATCGCCAGTCGCTCTCTGGCAGCGGATTCGCACCCCGGGCCGGGGGCGGGCTGGGGGCGGGGCCTCCTCGCCCGGCCCGCCCCCACCCTGGCAGACCCGGAGACTGGAATCCCACTTATGGGAGGGCGTATGCAGGTTGGCAGCGGAGCTGGCGAACACCTGCTAGGCTCCCTTAGGCCATCGGACTCTAAACCCAGCAACAGGAGGTGAAGGGGCTCTTCCCAGTCCCAAAGTCGGGAGTAAGAATTGGGGGAATTGGAGAAAAGCCCGTGTCTTGGAGCTGAACAGAAGGCTCCTGACTAGAAGTAGTCTCCAGGAGACCAGGGTCATGTCCAGTTTCCCAGCCCTGGTTCAAAGGGCTGGACCTACTTAGAACCGCTTGGGCAGTCCCTAGAGCACCCCCTAGCTAGGAATAAACACACAGGGGTATGTGTGCAATTCTGGTCAATTTGGGGATGGACAAAAGACCATAGTGAGGACCTCAGGCCATCCTACCACCAAGGCCAAAGTCTTTCCAACTAAATTCCCAGCCAGGTTGGCTAACTCAGTCAGCCCCCTCTGTATAGCTCTGAATCTTCCAAACTGTTAACAGCCACCTATGATGTAGTGTGAGGTCTGCTTTCTTCTCTTTGTAATAATCCTTAAACACATCCTAAGAAGCATGACCCAGGTGATCTAGGCTAGGATTTGGGGTCATGGAACTACTAGGAAGGAGTTTTGACTGAAGACCTTGGACATGTTTCTGTCCTTTATCAAGGAGGCAAATGGACCCAAGGCCCAGCCAACTGCCTTCAAGTCCTGAGGACTATCCTGAGACGATTTAAGTTTTTCATTGTCTGGATCTGGGCTCCATCCCATTTTGACCTTCTAGTAAGTTGCCTGGCCCAATCATCCTGAGAACAGGGTCACATGTTGAGGCTCCTTGCATCACTACTCATAGCAATGACAAAAGGGACCAACCAAGTGAAGTTGGGGCTGAAGCCAGGATATTGCCCAAGAAATGATTGTCTCAAGGCTTCTAGACAACTTCCTCCATTGGGCCTGTTGAACCCTTCAGATTTTTTTTTTGTGTGTGTGTGTTTTGTTTTTTGTTTGTTTGTTTGTTTGTTTTTTGAGACAGTGTTTCTCTGTGTAGCTCTGGCCATCCTGGAACTTGCTTTGTAGACCAGGCTGGCCTCAAACTCACAGAGATCTGCCTGCCTCTGCCTCTCTAGTGCTGGGATTTAAGGCGTGTGCCACTACTGGACAGTTTGAGCCCTTCATATCTTTTCCTGCCTTTGTTCACCTCCTTCAGGCCATGCTGCCATTGCTTAGGGGCTCCTTGTGTACCAGAGAGTCTTGGCCCTAACACACGCCCCCCCCCAGTGCCAGGTGGGAATCTTTTGGCAAACTAAGCAAAGCCTATCTCTATTCTCACAATGCTCAACTAACATTTGCAGAATGAATGAAAGACCTGGCACGCAATTCTGTCTATTATTCCCAAAACAGTGGGCCCCTGAGTTTACAATATAGCCAAAACATGGCTTGCATAACCCACATGTATCAGACATGTTTTCTACCTTTTTTGAGGGTCATAATTTATTCAAGTATGGGGACCAAGAAACTGGATTAGGGTTTTAGAGTCAGGGAAAGGGGTGGTTCCTTCTTTGCCTGCTGCTGGCAGCATTCCACCTCTTCTTGGTCCTGTGCACACTGTGTGCACGTGGGTGACAGCATGTGGCAGGGTATATGTGTACACGTGAGTGTGTATGCTCTGTTATACCAAAGGAGATGGAAACAGCACAGTGTATGCAGTGATGCCCGGGGGCACGTGTGTCTGTTGTTCCCTGAGCACCCAGCCATGCTTGCTGGCAATGTGCATGGATGCAGCAACTAGTCCCTAGAGCTGTGGTTCCTCTTCCTGTCTGACACAAAGCTTGGGATTGTGGAGGCTGAATCAGACTGTAAGAGCAGGACAGAGGAAGGGGCTGGATCATGCCCAGGGCACGCCTGATCTGTGATGACTTTATGCCATTGACTGTTTCCAATCTACTCTAAAATAGTCCCTTGCTTTCGTGTGTGTGTGAGGATAGACAAGTTTTTGTCATTTTGTGGAGGGTAACGCAAAGGCATGGCTTGTCCCTCAGCTTCCCAGGGAGCCACAGAAAAGGTAGAATCAGCTTCAAGGTTTAGACTTCAGGCAGCCTCCAGCTGCCCTCTGGACAAAGAACAGTTAAGATCTGTCAGTAAAGCACTTGCTTTGTAAGCTTGAGGACCTGAATTCCAGCCATGGAACCCATATTTAAGACAATGACAAAAACATGGGGGGGGGGCTTAAGCCTTTAATCCCAGCACTTGGGAGGCAGAGGCAGGTAGATCTCTGTGAGTTCGAGGCCAGCCTGGTCTACAAAGCAAGTTCTAGGATGGCCAGGACTATTATACAGAGAAACCTGTCTCCGCCCCCGTCAAAAAAATAAAAAATAAATAATAAATAAAAACCAGGCATGGTGATGAGTATTTGTAATCCCCGGTGCTGGGGAGGCAGAACTAGGTGAATATAGGTGGTCTGCTAGCCAGTCAGTTAGCCTAATAAGTAAGTTCCAGGCCAGTGAGAGATCCTGTCTCAGAAACAAACTAGTAAATGTTGCCTGAAGAACAAATACAAGGCTGGCCTCTGGCTTCCATATGCATGCAAACACACACACACACACACACACACACACACACACACACACGGTATGGTAATTAATTTTTTAAAAGGCCACCTTAATTTTAATCTTTCACTTCTTCTAGGCCATACACTGAGTCAAGCCCAAACTTCACTCTCATAGTCTCCGTTCAAAGCCAGACTGAGTGATAGCACATGGTTTCTAGTTATCCATTAGGCACAGGGATAATGAAAAGTCTTAACCCAAGCCCCGGGGTGGCATCGCACACCTTTAATCCCAGCACTAGGGAGGCAGAGGCAGGCAGATCTCTGTGAGTTTGAGGCCAGCCTGGTCTACAGAGTGAGTTCTCTGGTCATTGAGCATTCAGGAACTGCCTGGGTCGAGGGAAGGGGAGTCTAAGGAGGAGGAGCAAGTCCAGAGTTTATAGTTTTGGCTTCCACTGAAGCGAGGCGGTCAGAGCGCCACAATAAGAGGCAGGATGAGATGTGAACTTGAACATCCAAAGAGTCTGCAGATCGGGCTGGAGCTCAGCACCCCAGCTCTAGTTTGCTTGTCATCTGGGATCCAGCACTTAACTGTCCTCTCTACTTCCTACCCTGGTTACCAAAGGCAGTATTCCCATGTTCTCTTATTTTGAAGCCCCTGATAACCCAGCTAGAACACCCTCCCAAGGTTTAGAGTCTAAGAGGTATTTGTATTATTTCCCCAAGAAGCAGTCTTTGATAGACACCCTCCCTTGGGGGCAATGCTACATACCCAAAGCCATCTTTTGAATTGCTCAGCTACTGTCCATGTTGCTGGCCTCAGCACCCAGAAGAAGGCTCAAGAAAGGAGCTGGAAGCAATCCCTCCTTCTGGAGCTAGGGGAAGGGGCTGCCCCCATCCCCCACCCTCATGACTCACTCTAGGCTGTGTGGGTTATTACATTATGTTTGAAATTACCATGGCAACAAGCTGGCAATCAAGGGTAATTGCACTTGTCGTCAGGGCAACAGGGCAAAACCCCACAGCAGCCATTTTCTATGGTTGCCCTTGGGGTGCAGTAAAGGTCAAGCCAGATGAGAGATAATGATGGCCAAGGGGCTTTTGGGGGGGGTCTCTGGAAAGGGCAGGTTTCCAGGGCTCATTATGTTCTTGAGTGTTGAGGTTAGGTGTGCCTCGGGATGACCAGGATCCCCTTCTCGGGCCCCAAGTCTGGAGTCTTGCCTTCCCCATACCACCCTCCACCTAAAACATGCAACAGTACTTAAAGCAAGCAGAGTCAGAAGTTTATGTGCTCAGAGCTGGTACTTGTAGATAGCCCATGGGCCCTCCTCTTCATATTCCCTGCGGGTAAGCCACAGGCTTTGGAAGGAGTCCCGGCATGCCATGATGGAACCCCCAAGCCAGGCAGCAACTGCACGGTGTGGAGAACCCAGCACCGTGGCCCTAGGGCCCAGCTCCTGTCTCAGGCGCTCAGGGAAACCATTGACCAGGGTGCTACCACCTTCCAGCACCACGTTGGCCAGCAGCTGCTCCTGCTGCTTGGCCTCCAGACGACTGATACTTAGCATGGCCAGCTGTGGGAGGCCTGGCTGGTTGAGACCTAGCAGATTTGGTTGAAAGAGAGCCTCAGGGCAACAAAAGCGCTCAGAGCCCAGTGTGATAACTTGCTTATCTGGGAGTACAAATTCCACCTGGGCCTGGGACTGGTTTCTGGCCACCTCAGCTGCCATATCCATAGCCACATAGCAGCAGGCCTCTTTAATCTGTCTGAGAAGCCCTGCCTTGGGTGGCGAGTGGCCAGCTGCCAGGAGCAGCTGGGCCAGGTAGTCAGTAAGATCAGC